CTTCAATTAAAGGTCGAAGGAAAACATTGATATTTTTACCTGGGTTTTTTGGACCTGCAATGACCAATGTAAGAAAAGTAAACTCTGGTCGCATGCACATCTCTGGCGGCAAATTATAAGCAATCAAAAAAACTAGCCAGCAAGAGTAGGAGGCTAAAGAATGAGCCCATGGGTTGAAACCATCAGTAGCAAGACCTAATTGAACATTACGAGGTTCTCTTTTAAAAGAAGGATACATTTGATCAAAATGTCTCCATGCTTCTAATTGTACTAGATGAATGACCTCATCTGTATCACCACAACATTTCGAGACATGTATAGCCTCTGAAGGCAAGGTATTATTGGCAAGTACCATAGAGAATTCCTTGGAATGTCCTTCTGTCTTTTCCTCCTTGGATTTCTCTGTTTATACCTCGCTTCTCCACAAATTGGACATGTAATCAATGTTTTTGTATGCTCCCCATAGTATAAAAAGTAGTTGTTAACACAAGCATCAATTTTTAGATAACCTAACCCAAGCCCTTTCATATGTTTTTTTACTTCATATAAGGTTGCAAGAATTTTTTCCTAATCTTTAGCACTTAACAACCTCCTACATCCTTTGAGAATGTCATTAAAACCATTAGCAGTTATATTATTTGTAGTCTTTATATGCAACATATAAGAGAGCCAGCTAAGCACTGTCTCATTTCTTTTAGAACTATCAAGTGGAATTGTAGATGCATGAACCAAGTCATAAAATGCCTTTGCTTGATTGTTTGGTTCCTTGTCCAGATGTTGATTGGGGAAATTACCTTCCATTTCCCAATTATCATCATCCTCTAGACAAAATGCATCATACACCATTTCACGAAAGTCATTCCTTTCATCATGGTGTGTATCTTGCCTATGTGATGCTTCTCCCAGATTAGTAGCAGACTATGGATCTGCTGAATTCACAAATGTCTCACCATGCGCCCACCAAACAAAATAAGCATTCATAAAACCATACTTAGTAAGATGGTCCCATACCATTTCTCGAGTCATCAACGGTAAATTAAAGCATTTAGTACAATGACATCTAATTAAATCATTCGGTTGAAGACCAAGGCTATTGTATGCAAATTGAAGGAAATATTCAACTCCATTATAGAACTCATTATATATCTCTCTCCTCGTGGAGTTCGATGCCTATACATCCAACTACGATCCTCCATAATTTTATTAAATGAATAAAATAAAAATAATAACATGATTAGTTTCAAAATAATTATGATATCTTTCACGTATTTTATAGTTGGTTAAAACCCTAATTTATCATACATATATCTATAAATATGTTAAATTTAATCATCAATAAAATTTATCATACACAAATGATTGATTTTTTATTTAATAAAAAAATTAATATTTAACCATACAATTATAAAAACATAGTGAAAATGAAACTTACT